AAATCGGAAAGATTTCATCTCGTAAAACATAAAAAATTGAATACAAAAATCCTTTTATCCTTTTATCGAAAGTGCAAGTCCAATTTTTATGACACATTCAATGATTGTTCAATCTCTTAATTCTTTTAATATATTTAAACTTTACTGTTGTACACATATATATATGTATGTACATACATATATATACATATATATATATATATGTATGTATGTACATTTCTAATTTTTCAATATCAGCGATGCGAACATTTTAATATTTTTTGCATGATATTAATTTCATTCAAATGCTTCCAAAAAAATTAAATGAAAATATAATGATTAACAATTTTTTTTTTTAAATATTAGTATCTTCATTGATACAAAGCACATATAAAAATATGATTCAAGAATGAATTTGTAATTGATTAAAAAACATTGATGCAATCTTTAGATAAGAGAAGAATTGTCAAGTGATGAACAAAGAATCAATAGAAGACAAAGAAGAGTTCACAAAAGTTTCATTCCTTTCAATATATATAATAATAAAAATGAAATGCAATATGCAAACTAATAGACAAATATAAATGCATTTTATATGGCTTTAACAAGTTCATTTGGTGGGTACCTTACATTTTAGATGTTTGTGGAGCAACCGTCAACCGGTAGTTAATTATTCTTAATGACATGTGAGAATGAAACGAGAAACTGTCATTACTTGTGTAGAGCCAAACCGACGAGCAAAAACGGTAAGATTATATTCTTAAGATGATACTTATTATGATGTATTTGTCACATATATCTTGTTATTTTTATTATTTTTTCAATATTATTTTTAACTAATTTGCTTTCATATTAACTAGTTTGCTTTCAAAAATGATGATTCTATTTTTTGCATTGATTTAAAATTTTTTTTTTAATTTATTATCAAATATTATATAAATTTTTTGCTGTATTCATGAAATATTTAATAATAAATTTAAAAAGATAATATTTCTAGATGACAACGGTATTGGATGGCAGCTATCAACGTATGGAGCCATATGATGGAGAGGAAGAGGATGGAGAAGATGATGATGAACATGAAGAAACACCACAGGAATCTGGTGTTATGATACATGTAGTACCAGAAGGAAATAAAGCAAGATGGAATCATGTTGAAGATTTAGATTCATTTTTTACAAGAATGTATCATTATCATCAAAAACATGGATTTGCTTGTATGATGCTTCAAGAAGCGCTTGAACTAGGACAATTCATTTTTGTAGTTACTTTTTCAACTTTCCTTTTTCACTGCATCAATTATTCTCTATTGTTTAAGTAAGATTTTGTTAAAAATATTAATATAATTATTGATATGGTGAGAAGATTCAGATTGATGAGATTGATATAGTTCCAGGAACGGAAAGGAAGGAAAAATTTCGATAAGTGACGTAATTTTATCAACAAGCGAATGTGTAGCATCTATGGGTCTGATTACTTGGATCTGTATTTTAGTAGCTGCAATATTTTGGATCTTGCGATTGGTAAAAGTTTTGTATCATTGCACGCAGTTTTGGGACATAAAGCTTTTTTTTAACACCGCGCTGAAAATTGAAGACTGCGATCTGGACAATCTTACATGGCATGAAATACAAAAGCGTGTCAGAGAAGTGCAAAAAGAACAAGAAATGTGCATTCACAAAAGAGAGCTTACAGAATTAGATATATATCATAGAATATTAAGATTTAAAAATTATATGGTGGCTATGATCAATAAATCCTTGTTACCAATTCGACTTAAAGTCCCTATTATAGGAGAAATTATTTTCATGACAAGAGGATTAAAATATAATATGGAATTACTTTTGTTTTGTAAGCATTAAATATTTATATAATTATATTATATAATAAATATATAATATATTATATAATATTATATATATAATATTATATATATTAGTTAAATTTGCTAGTTTGCTATAAATTATTCTTATATACAGGGGGACCATGGTCTCCATTTGAAAATAATTGGCATCTTAAAGAAGATTATAAAAAGTTAAATAAAAGACAAGAGCTTGCAAGAGCTTTATCTAAACATATTTTATGGGTTGGAATTGTAAATTTTTTACTTTGCCCATTAATTTTATTATGGCAGATACTCTATTCGTTTTTTAATTACGGTGAGGTGAGTAATTTTATTTAAGTCGCGATAAATTTCCCACTCGATATATATATTTCGTGTCGTAGGAATAATCGTATTGGAAAATATTTCTGTCTCGAACAGATCATCAAGCGAGAACCAGGAACTTTAGGTACAAGAATGTGGTCTTTATACGGTCGATTGTATCTTCGTCATTTCAACGAACTCGATCATGAATTAAATGCCCGCTTAAATCGTGCGTACCGTCCTGCCTCGAAATATATGAGCATATTTACATCTCCTATTATGACAGTTATTGCAAAGAATGTTGCTTTTGTGGCTGGAAGTATATTGGCAGTTTTATTAATATTAACAGTATATGATGAAGATGTACTAACGGTGGAACATGTATTGACTACTATAACCATACTAGGTGCAATAGTAGCAGGCGCAAGAGCATTTATACCTGATGAAAATTTAGTGTGGTGTCCGGAGACTCTTTTAACCGCTGTTCTAGCACATACACATTATAGACCTGATAGTTGGCGAGGTCATGCTCATACTCAAACTACAAGAGCAGAAGTAGCACAATTATTTCAATATCGTGCAGTCCATCTTTTAGAAGAACTAATTTCCCCTTTGGTTACACCGTTTATTCTATGTTTTCGTATGAGACAACGAGCCTTAGATATTGTTGACTTCTATCGTAATTTTACAATCGAAGTCACAGGAGTTGGAGATGTTTGTAGTTTTGCACAAATGGATGTGCGAAAACATGGAAATCCAATGTGGCAGACAGCGACTCAAATTCCTGTCCCAGATCGGGCTGCGAAATATGATAATCAATATGCTACAGATCCAGAGAAACTTCAAATTCCTATTTCGGATCAGTATACTCAAGCAGAAGATGGGAAAACGGAATTATCTCTTATACATTTTACCTTAACGAATCCTGAATGGAAACCACCAAGTCATGCTGAAAATTTTGTCACAGCCTTAAGAGAAAGAGTAAAGAAAGATGTACATGGAGGCGGACATGAAATCAATCCCCTTCTAGCAAGCTTAAATAGTTTATCTGGTTTAGGACCAGGCGTAAGTGTTTAGATTTTAATTCGAGATCAAATTGATATTAAATTTAATTTGCTCAATTATTTCAGTACAACGATATTATATCAAACATAATTCGAAGCACAATAGTAAATCAAGCAAGTGGGCCAAGCACGAGTACTATGTTTACTAATCAACCTTGTACCACTTCTGTTTGTACTTCCGGAAATGAAATGTTGAATATGAAATCAGACATATTTCCGCACGCAGTTCAATGTGGCTTAAGCAAAGCTGAAGGTCCTGTACACAATGAAAAAGGATTATTATATGGGTTACAACAAGAAATATCAAATCAATCTTTAGGCGCTTCTGTCTTTGTATCGAGTCATGAATTTTCTACTGATTTATCTATACCAGTGGAATTAATTGCTGCCGATATGTCACTATCTACATTGTACCTGCATGAACTTCATCATAGACAAGTAAGATTTTTTTCTGTATTTAATTCTTTACTATTTTAAAAGAAAAAAAAAAATTCTAAGGAAAGTAATAAAAAAACTTAAGAAAAATGATAAATATTAAATAATTCTAAATTACAGGTTCGTAGAAGGGGCTATCAAGAATTGGCTATGAGAAGTGTATGGCAACGAAGTCCTGTTCAAGAGCTTGCTACCCTTCCTGAAGTTAGACAAGAAAGAGCACCCTTGCTCTTACATCAGGATTCTTCAATAAGAAATAACAGAGAATTTAAATATAATTTAAACACTCATTTAGATAGCATCTGAATCTTAAGTGCAGTGATATCATCACTTTTAACAAAATAAAATATTTTAATTCGCTTTACAACGCGATGTCCTCGTGATTTACTTTATAGCAAGAGAATAGCTTGAACGTTTAAGAATCTGTGTTATTGATGTAAATACAATATTGAAATATTCGTTAATTAGACTCGATTAGAAAATGAACGATCTCAAATGCCTATTTTAATTCTAAAGGCCTACGTGTGTGTATTTTGCGCATCAAATGCTTATAAATATTTCCTGAAATTGTACTAAATTTTTTAATATTATTATGTTGCATTATAACATAAGGATTACAATATGATAATAGAAATATGAAATAGAAATCACTTATCATAGATTTATGAAATAAAAATTTCAGTCTTTTTACATTTCATTATAGTAAATATAAAACTTACTAATTCTTTTTTCTCTCTCTCTTTTTTGAAACTAAATACTAAAATATATTTTTGGATGTATGCGCTGTGTGTCTGCGTGTGATAAAATCAGCTCTAGTTTTCAATGCCACAATTCTCTAGTCATATGAAGTGAATCACACACCATAGCATAAAGAATTATTTATTTATTAAAATATAGTTACTCTCGATAAGCACGATGGCTGAATATTAATGATTGCTGCAATATGCAAAAAATCGCTTATAAAAGATATATTTGTTATTGAGTATTTCCTTTTTTTAATACTGTCATACAATGCAGCTAATCATTAAAAATGCAAATGTATGTTTCGAAAATTTATAAGTCATAAATTTTATAAATTAATAACAACTTAATTTATTATGTTTATTTTTCGTTAGAATTCGATAACTCATGAATACAGATTCTTATCGTGATCAAACAGCTACGATCCATATATTTTAAGAATCTTTCAAATAAAACAACATGTAATGAAAAAAATAAGAAACCATTTCACAAAAATTTTAATATAATTCTATAAAAAAAACTTAAAAAAAAAACAATAATAATAATAATAATAATGATATTAATTTAAGAATACTTTGTAATTTACCATTATAACATATAAAAAATAAATATGTTACATAATAATTTTCATAAAAACGAAATTTTTTTGTTCATATATGTATACAAATATAATTTAACAAAAGACTATCGAAAAATATGACTGATGAAAAAATATTATTTATAAAACATGAACACTCATCAAAGTTATAGAAATTCACCAACAAATTGGACATTAGGAGACGCCATGAAATATAATTTACGGTGCAACCGAAATATTAGCGAAAAGATGACGAAAAAAGACTTCGTATACGATATTCGCCCACCAATTCAAAGTTCCAGAAAGGCAAGTTGCAAAAGTCTTTGTATATCTTCTCTTTGATGCGTTTGCTTCACTTAAATTATAATTGTTTATTTTAATGATAAATGCATTTAAAAAATGAATTATCGAATATTAATTTATTAACTAAAATATAATTGAAAAATTTAATAGATACAAATTTTAATGGTTTAAAATGAAGATGACACTACTGGTGCATTAAAACATGGCGTCTTTTAGCCGCGAAAAATTTTCAAGGAATGATGAAATGAAATTCTAACAAATTACGTTAAATATTAACATATTCGTTGATCAAACAATTACTTTTTGTAAATATTTTTTATGCTTTTTATTAAATATTTTAAAATATTTTGAAATCTAAATTCTTCATAACTTCATATTAAATCTCTATAAATTCTTGTATTTAATTTTAACGAAATTTCATTTAAATTCACACTAGTTGTATTTTTAATATTTATTTTTAATATTAATAATAATAATGATTATATGTAATATGCGTCACACAATTTCTGCACAATAACTATTTTTCAAATTCGAAATATAAAAATATAAAACTATAAAAAATAAATATATTTATAGTTGGAAGAAGGAAAATATCCAATTGTACTACCACTTCAACTACGAAAGAAACAAAGTACTGATTCAAAAGTGCCCCAATATGCTGTTATTTCGGAAAAAAACAATTACAACGAAAATGTTAGTACAATAAATGTAAGTAACTGCATTTTTAATTGCTATGAATACAATATGTGCATATAATATAAATATAAGTATATCAATAGTATAATATAAGTAAAATAGAATATAGATATGTTTGTGATTGTATATATATTTTCCTTTTATTATTTTTTTTATTATAGATTTCAGGACAACGAACCTTGAAATTTGAATGCAATTTTTGTCACGAACAAATAGCTACACTTTTATCGTTGTCTACCCATGTAAAATGTCATCGACGAAGATATTGCAAATATTGTTACTGGATACTATCAGGAAACGAAACAATGGAAAAACATCTCGAAGATACTCATCGAATTGATCCAGGTATTACAACGAATATCTAATATATTCTCTATTGCAATATAATTCTTTATAATATTTTTTTTATGTACATAAATTATTGATAAAGTGATTAATTTATCGATAAACATATTTATATATATATAGTAGATTAAACTTTTTGAATTTGTTATCTTCGAAATTTTTGATTAAAATATGATCTGATATTTGATATTATATCTTTTTAAATGAGATTCGTTTAAATCTCTTTATTTAAAATAGATATATAGATAAAATATATAATCATAAATAATATTATTTTTTATAAGTATTTATAATATTTCAATCATCCATCATTAATTTAAAATATCATATAATATATAATAAAATACTTTATATCATGTCTATAAAATAAATAAAAATCATAATTGCATGGATTAGTTTATAAATTTGTACATGTATATATTCAAAGATCTGGAGCAACAGTTTTTAATATATTTCCAATATTATTTGGACAATTTTCACAGACAATATTTTGTCCTCGAAGTCGTAGATCGTTGGATAATAATTTAAGATTCTATAAAATAACAATTATTTTGATTATATCAAAAAAATCATGTATGTAAGTTTTTCATTATATAATAATGAATTTTTTTAATAAGATAGTTTCAAATCGTCATTTACCTTTGCAACTGTTACATCGATCCTTTTTACATTCTTACAATCAAGTACAACATTAAGCGAATTTTCTTCTGAAAGTTGCATTATGCTGGCTCTAAAATATTCTGCTGCTGGGAATGTAATACTTTCTTCGGGAATAATACGAATCGCGATTTTGTCTTCTATCTACAATAAAGAAAATATACATTCTCTTTTCACAATTAATAAAATAAATTTAATTCATTTATCTGACCTGTTCGATTTCGGTATGGACGGAAGGTCGAGCAGAGAAATATAATAATATTAGTAGATTTAAAACTATACCAATAATGATTCCCCATTCTAATTTATAAAAAACACAAAATAATAATGTAATCAACATCAGTAGAAAATCAATTTCTGAAAAAACAAATGTAATGTTAATAAATTTAAAATTAAATTGTGTTTATCGCGATACTAATTCACTTACTTTTAGCACGCCATATTAATGCATACGTTTTGAAGTCGAGCATATAATACATAGAACACATTATAACACCAGCTAAAGTGGCTTTAGGAATAAAACGAAAAGTGGATGTTAACAAACTAGAAGCGAGTAAGACAAGACAACCTGAAAGAAATGAACTATGATATTAAATTAGAAATTTATAAGAAATAATTTATCATATATATCATATTATCATATATTAGGACAAATTTACGCATATCTTTTTTATTTACTTAATAAAATTTCTATAATAAATTCAATGATATATACTATACTTATACCTGTAAATAAACCTCCCAAAGTTGTTTTAACTCCGGATGAATGATTAACAGCTGTTCTTGTGAAAGAACCTGTAATTGGCATTGATCGAACGAATGAACCAAATATATTGCACAAACCTAACGCGAACATTTCCTGTGTTGCATCCAAAGATTTTCCCATTGCTAAAATTTATTCAAAGATATTCATCATAATTAAATAAAGTCGTATAGTCATATAATTCTTATGATCAAAGATCAATGGTTGGATTTTTTATGCAATCGATATAGTAATTAGTAACAATATTAATAAGGAAAATTGAAATTGAATAATTGAATATTAATAAGGAAAATTTGAATTTATTGATGTGGATAATTTTTTATTCAGCCACCATATCTTGCATGTTGAATTCTAACAGTCAATGATATAGCATACCAAAAGCTTTTGCTATCGCCATATGCTCAATCGTAGACACAATCGGAACAGAGAAAAGTGTTGTTCCCATAGCAGCCATTGTTTCAAGAAAATCGTATGTACGATTTCCATCTGATATTGAAAAATGTGGTAAACCAATCTGTGGTAATCCATTACCCATCGATCCTATAAAGCAATATTATATTATATTCTTTTTCTTTGTTTTTTTATTAAATAACTTGCAATGCTTATCATATGACTTAATAAATGATTAAATATTCATGATATAATTTTTCAAATATCATGTTGCTCTTACCAGTTAACTTGAAAGGTTCTTCATTGTTTGTGTAAAAAATATAGGCAGTTACAGTACCTATGATAACCACTAATGCATTACGTGCAAGAGTAATAGCCCAAGCAATTTTTTGTGGCCAGCTACCAGTTCGACGCCCTGGTAAATTCTTAAATAAAATCGAATAAAAATTAATTTAATTTCAAATAAATCTATAATCATATAAATCATTTAAATTTGACTTTATGTCACTTAACTCATCCTTTATTTTCGATGAAGCATACAAATATACCTTTAATAAAACCAAAAGTATTATTGTTGCAACACCTAACGACGTGTCTTGATAGCGTATGTCATTAAAATTCGAAAATACTGAGATTAATGCATCTACCAAGTCTTCGCTTCTACCAGGGATACCTAATAATGGTTTAATTTGTGAAGCAGCTATATTAATGGACGCAGCTGCAGTGAAACCCGTAATTACGGGTAACGAAATGAAATCCAACAGAAAACCTAAAATCCGTATGATTTAAACTCTTTATACACTAAAAAAAAGAGGAATAAATAAGTAAAAATCAATTCATCACTCACCCAAATGAAGTAATCCAAGTATTGCTATCATACAGCCCTTTAAAAACGAAAGCAATACAGCCATATCGGGACCGTATTTTGATACCAAAGGTTGCACCATCGTTGCCATAATAGCAGTTGGTCCAATAGTAATACTTTTACAAGAACCAAAAACAATGTATACGAATGAGGCCATGAAAGATGCATATAATCCATACTGGAAAAAAAAATTAAAAAAGAATGTGAATATTGAATAAGTAAATATACAATGATTGATATATGTTATATCGTTTCATTTTAATTTACCTCGGGACTTAAGTTAGCAACGATAGCGTAAGCAATACCTTGTGGAATAGCTGTAAGGCCAACCGTTAAGCCAGCTAATGCATCTTGCGCTAACCATGTGAATTTGTAGTCCTTTGCCCACGATAAAATTGGTAATCTTCGTTTGATATATCCATAACAAGATTTTTTGTTACACTGAGACACTTAAAAAAAAATATAAATAATTTGTTTAAAATGAAATAAAATGTTTAAAATAAAATAGAAATTTAAAAATAAATCCTTATCTTCTAACGATATTTCACAAATTAATTAAATTATGTAAACTCACTTTTTTGATAAAACGTGTTCTTCGCCTTGTTCAACATGTTTAAAATTATTTTTATGTGAAATATTAAATGCAATAACTTATTATACTTCTATAGCGTATTTACAATTTTAAATAACATTTATGTACACATTATTATTAGAGTGATATTTAATATTTACAAATAAATTTTGATAATATAATTTTGATAAATAAAAAATACATTCAATGAAAAAATGAAAAATAAATATTCAAATTTCTTGTTGTTCTCAAATATAATTATGATACAAAAAGAAGTTATTTATGATAAGGAAACATGAGCTCGATACAAAACACAACCATTCGATAACGTCGTCGATTATAATAAATGCCGCTCTAAGAAGTTATAAAAGCTTCGAGTGCCGGTATTTATCCTGATACTCCCACTCCTCGAATACTTGACGATTCAGCAATCATCATAACTATTAAAGCTATCAAGATATTGAATCTAATATTACCTTCTGTTATCTTCATTATAATTCTTTTCTTTTCTTATTATAATAATTTTTTCATTAATTATACCTATTCATTATTTTTAAAGAATCATTTAATTATCAATACTGATTTTTTAATGATTCAAACAACTTATGATTTCTCTGATGATTTGAAAAAAAATTAAAAAGAATGAAAATGTTTGCGCAAAAGGATATTCGATCAAATTATGATGATCAATAATGAATGGAAGTCTTCAGTTTTCAGTAAAATATAAAGCAAAATAAAGATGTTAATATTAGTTACTTTATACGTTAGTTATTATAATTTCGTAAATATTAGTTAACTATTATTATTCAAAAGAAAAAAAAAATATTAACATTTAATTTCATTAATTCTATTAATAATCAACTTATATAAAATTATTATCGGACAAAATTCTTAATATTTCATCATTAATAAGATTACTGTAATGTGATAGAAACTAGATTAAAAATTTCTATTAGTCATAGAGTAATATAAAAAAATATTCATTTTTTATATATCATTAATAATGAATGATAATAATATAATAAAAGCTATAAACAAAGATAAAAAATATAACATTATATAAAAAAAAAATATTCATCGTCAGCATTCTATTTAATTTATAATTATGTGATTTAAATTAATTTTTGTTTTTCTAATATCCATCGATAAACTATCAAAATTAATTTATTACAATAAGCGATTTATTCAATTTATATAATTTTAAAATTTTTATAACTTGCAATTCTAGATTTTTTATTGTATTAAACGTACCAATATATTAATTTATGTATATCATATATTTATTGTATTAATATAATTATCTTATAATGAATATTAATGAAATTTTATAAAAAAAATATATTAGAAACACAGATTCATCACAGAGTATCTTGAAATTTTATAATGCATATTAATGATTTTCATAAAAGATATATCAGAAATGCATATTCATTACAGAATATTTTGAATTTGTAATAAAATAAAAACAGTGTTTTTCAATAAAATTTATATTGATTATATTAATATCATTCATTTTGCTTTTCATTTATCTATTTATTTTCTATTATTTATAATTTTAAATATAATTATTAATTATTTTAACAATCCATAATTATTTCAAATTTAATAATCTATGATAATCGAAATTATTTGTATATAGAAACATATATAAATTAAAAATATAATTGACGAATTAATAATATATTTTGTTTGTATGAATTTAACTGAACTGATATCATTGATAAAATTAAATACATATTAGATTAATACGCGAAAACAAAAATCGATCGTTGAACAATATAATTATGGATTAAATAGAAGATTATATATATTTTAAAAATAATAATCTCAGAAAAAATCACAATGTATTATCTATATTATGATACTTTCATAATGATACTTTGTATCTTTTTGAATACATTTTTGAATAAGAATATTAAATTATTTAAATTTTTATAGTATCATAAACAATATCAAAGTTAAATTTAAAAAATAGTATAGAATTATATTTAAATAATTTAATATATAAGTACGTATTTTTTAACATATTAAATATATATATAATATGATACTTTAGATTAAATAAAATAATATTTCTAAGAAGAATAAGATAAAAACCATACATTGGATGCAAAATAATACAAATTTTAATTTTATCTTTGTTTTAACTTATTAAATTTACTTACATAACTTGATTAATATTTAAAGATTAATAAATTCTTTACAATGTTTTCTTCTTTTGAAATGATCAATTGTCAAAAGTATAGTATAATCAAAAATATACTGCAATATATTGCATAATAAAAAAAAAAACTTTTTCTTTCTTCTTTTGTATAGAAAATTGAAATTTTTTTATTATTATTTTTTTTTTCATTTTAACTAAAATCAATAAAAAAAAATTTATTTAGAAATTTGTTTAAAAATGATATATTTTAAAAATATTTTTAAAAATAATATTAATATTTCTAAAAAAATTATTAATATTTACAACTTATACGAAAAATATCTGTATCTTATTAATAAACTGTTTTATGATAGATTTATCTAATAATAGTTGAACATAAATAACAAAAAATATATTAAATTATAATGTAATATTTGAGATTTAAAATGATGTATCATTATAAATGTATAATTATTTATATATTTTTCAAAATTTAAAAATTTTTTAATAATAGAAAGATAATTAGAACGAAAATGACATGATGGAATTAATTATTGCAATTCATATTTAACAAATTATATTTTAAATATTAAGAATTAATAATTTTGTATTTTTTGCAATTTTATTTTAGAATGATCAACAGCTGTGACATCATCATTCATGAAGTTCATAATAAAAAAAGCTGATGGATAACGAAACTTCTTTGTATGATATATCTCTAAATGAAGAGTACATTTTTGACAGGATTGATATAAGAGTAATTTTTATTATGCTTTATACCATTGTCTTCGTTTACTGCTTTCTCGGTAAGTGATCGTCTTGATCTAGATCACTTGGATTATTACTTGAATCTCAAAATATTGTAATTGGTACAATGATGAAATTGATTTGTATCAATTGTGTCCAATGTATTCTTTCTCAATTTTTGACAAAATGAAAAAACGCGAATATCGGTGTAAATCAATAAAAACTGTTCTTCAATCGAAATTTCAATTCATTTCTGTAATAAATATTCGTGTTCATGAAACGTCGATGCTAAAGTAGAATTAATTAATCCTTTTATTATATTTGTAAAAATTTATTCCAACTCTGAAACAGATATAATTGTTTTTTTTTAGATCTATTAAAAATTTATTTGTGTATGTTACAATTAAAGAAAATTATATTGTTACAATAAAAAAAAAAAGTAACATTTGCATTCAATAAAAATTTTATATAAAAAAATTATATTAATCTAAAACCATGATTGAACTATATCCTAACATAATAGGAAGATTAAGTTTTCAAAAAAAAAAATTTCATAAAACATGTCGTTCAGAAATTATCTTTATGTCAGAATTTTATGTCAATAGAACTTCGATTATCAGAAGAACGAATAAATCGAGTGAATAAGCGAAAAAAAATGATTAACTTTTTTAATGTAATTATTATAAATTATTGTAAAAATAATTGATAATTGAAAAAATGTTATCTAATACAAAATAAGAAAATAATATAGCTTAATATGATTTTATATGATTTTATAATATAGGATTGTTTTTTTTTTATAAAATGTCTCAAAAATCAAAAATTAAAAATTCTGATACTTGAAAATTAATATTTCGAACATTTCAATGTTTTCAAGTATCGATCCAATCCGATTTGATGTAATCGGACTCGATTTCTTTTCGATATATCGATTATATTTTCGATATAAATAATTTAATCGAAGCTTTATCTCGATTTAAACTTAAATATATAAGAATCAAATTCTTATATATTTCTAATATTGAATATTTTCTCTCTATCTGCCTTATAATTCTTTCTATGTCTATGAAAAAGATTAAGAATAATTAAAATCCTGATTAATTGACATTATGAAATATATTCAGAAATATATTTTTATAAAATTTGATTTTAGATAATTTGATGATGATCTTTATAGTGTTCTTTTGACAACTATGCAGTATCATTAATTTTTTTTTAATTAATTTGGCAATACCTGATTTCTGCGTCGATATTTTTTGCATATACCAAACTTCAACAAATTATTTGATGAATGATTAACAACTCACATTCATGCTTTCTCTTATACGAGTATATTAATTTCAGTAATAGTTTGCATTGAATGATACTTAGTTATTGTTTATTTTATTAAATGCAAATCCGTATAAATTAAACTAGAAATCAATTATAAATCGTAATAGGTATTGTTTAGAACTTGCCAAAAATTTTTCTATGTTGAAACCACAAAAAATTATTTAATCATAAATAAAATAGACATCATATATATAACTAATAACAAAAAGTATAACAAAATACTATTAGATATAATAAATCTCATTTTTATTTACTTACTTCCACTTCTCTTGATGTCTTGCCTTTATACAGAATTATCGTCGGTTTATGGCGAAGTAGCACCTTGGAGAATCAGGCTCAACGGCTAAAAGCAAAGACGATAATGTTCATCACGTTCATAAATTAAGCAGAAATATACTTTATATCAGACATGGTGTGATAAGGTATGTATCATACTATAATTACTACACATATGAGGTTATTCGGGAAAAAATTATTTATTATTAAACATAACATATATGGGAATAATCTCTTAATTCTTAGTTTAAAATATTCTCCAAAACTTACAAACTTAACTCACTATTTCTTTCATTTGTCAAAACAATTTGCAAAATTTCTTTTTAAAATCAACATCATGATTTGATATTTTGTTCTCAATTTGAAATTTTTTTATTCAATAGCGATTTCAATTTAGAAAAAACTATAAGTTATAGAAAAATCTGAGTTGTAAAAAAACAAACTTAAATTATACAATGTTTCTTTAAAACTTAAATCTTATTCAATTATTATCAATGACATGATAATCATATAATACATGTAAACTTATTCAACAATATTTCACTGATAATTGAATTGCACAGAACAATGATTATGTACATGCATACAGTAAAATTTAATTCAAATTATTATTACATTAAGATTATGCGATCTATTTTTAAGATATTCAAAAGAATAAATTTTTTTTTCAGATAGATCTGATATATCTCGTTTAAAAAAAAATAAACAAATCAAATCACATGACAAATGCTGCAACTTCAATTTCTTTCGAACTGAAATAATTTGTTACCAAACTAGTCAATATCAGAATCGATTTATATACTATATCATTACGTAAAATATTTCGATTACTGACGCCAGTTTTTTTCTATATTGATTGCTTATTTCCATGAAAATAAGTTGTATTTATAAATTTTTATCTTGGAAGTAATTTATCTCTTTTATTATGTTGTTTATGTTTATATTGATAACAAATAACTATTTGTAGAAATTTATGTGCGAAAAGTAATTTTATATCTTAATATTATGAGTGCAACTCTGATTTCCCTAGATTTTGTCACATGATTTTGTTTACATTCAGTGATTCGACTCCTAAAATATTTACATAATAAGTTTATTTTATTTAAAAGGATATATGTAAATACTTTATACTAAAGTATAAAAAAATCGAATAATAATTAAATTAAAAAATTAAATTTTAGAATATTACGGTTATTGATTATTATGGTGAGAATGTTCACCATGTATAATTTGTCGCAACAAGTCTAGCATCACTGGAGTTCGAATTATGATTGCACGTTGAATCTGAGCATTCTTCTAACCTTATCCAATTTTATTTCGTACACAAACTCTTGTTTAAAGTTTGTCTTGTTTGTCTTTATTGTATACTTTTTTCTCATATAATTTTCGAAGAGAAATAAAAAAATTTCTTAAAAGAATTATATTAACACATCACAAATACGACAAAATGAATATAAATCTTTTTCCTTATAATTTGTTATATTTAATTTTATTTCAGTTCCTAATAAACTAAACGAGAATTTAATTACAATATAATATGATAATATATATGATACAGAAAAAATATTTGAAGAAATTAATTTATTGGCTGCAAAATTCTTTTATATGCTTCATCAAATTTTTCATGATTAAATTAGAATATCCTTTTAAAATAAATCAAAAATTTTTCTATATGAAATTATTACTTTATTTTTCTCTTGTATGTATCTCTAATATGTAAAATGAAATTATTCTTATTCAAACACATACATTTTCTTCCATTTTCTTCCATATTTTAATTTTCTTTATTTATGTTGTTTTATATTTCTTTTTTTTGTCATTATATATCATATAATAATATAATATAATATAATAATAATATCATTGTCGTGATCTGAAGTCTATATAAAAAAAGAAAAGAATATAGAAAAAAATATATACTAAAAATAGATTATAGTCATTTCAATATTATTTTTCTAGTACAAATTTATATCAAAAGATTAAAGATTATTCTCGCAAAATAGATATAAAAAAAATTTTAAAATAAAGAAATAGAAGATGAATCAATAGAACAGAATTGTTGAGTTTTCCAATTACGTGGAATTCGCATTAAGTTAACATATCGTCCATATTTGGCACTGACACAAGTGGTTTTAGCAGACAAAAAGATTTCTACATCAGATCATACATATTGAACGATAATGGAAAAGAAAAAAAATGAAATTTATTTTATTCAAAAACGAGATTTATAATAGAATTTTAATGAAATGACATTGATTAATTATTATCCAATAATTGAAATGGAAAGAAAGTAAAAGTAAAAATCGATAAATATTTTATTAAGGAATATATGATGTTTTGTATCATTCCATTTTAAATGTCGAGAAAATTGATTTTCCATATATCTTGTTATCCTACATATCTTGTTTCAAGATATTAATTTAGGTCAAAAATGTAATAATATTATTGAAACATTAGAAATTGAAACTTCTTTATGAAAATAAGGAGAATGATATAGTCAGATGATATGGAAATATTATCGTATATTCTATCGATTGTTTGCGTTGATACATATAATTTAATAATAAAATATTTTGATATTGATTTTTTTTTCAATTCAATCATATTTTCTTATTATTAAAGAATTTATAAATTTGAAAAAATAAAAAATAAGCTATAAAATTTGAAAACTATAACAGAATTGAAATAGATCAGTAATATTATATTGTTACAATTCATTACACATGAAACTGTAACATGCAACTTTTTTTTTTCGTTTCTTTTTAACTTTGACAAATATTTCAATTTGATGCTTTGTTATATTTTAAATTAATTCTCTCTTCAGTTAGTACATCAAAATTATATAATCAATTAAAATTAAAATTATTATCTACATCAAAGTTCAATAATAATTTTTAACCTAAAAATTAAATTATATACTATATTCAATAAGAATTATTGTAATAAAAATTTTATATAAAACAAATGCTCAATGTTGAGTAATTTTACTAAAATTATAAAAAAGTGCACTTTAGTTTATTTTTTTTATTTATAAAGCTAAACTTAAATTCCTTTTCTAGGTCCATGGATTATCTAAATAACGCAGTTACATATTATATAGACATTTAATATTTAAGATGCAATATAATTTCTTTCTCATTTATTCACTGTTTATCTCTTCGTTCATTTCAATCCATCATCGTTTTTCCATTCTCCCTTTTTCCTTCTTTCTGTCGAATCATGTGAGCATTATCTACAATTTTTTATTTCCTCTTAAGTTATCAGTTGAGGTCCCGAGTTCGCAGCTAAGTAACCGGTTAACTCCGGTCCATCGACTTCTCTCTAGGCATTTTATCAAACAATGGTTGATCATTTCTCAATAAGACATTTATATCTCAATCAATAATCATGAGATCATAGCTGTTAAAAAACAAATGAATTTTAATAATAAGTTACTAAGATTAATATCAAAAATTATTAATAAAAAAAAAACTATATTTATATATATATATAGATTATATATAGATATTGAATAAGAAAAAAAAACTTTGCAATCAAGATAATATTTTTCATTAAAAAGAATATAACTATTTAAATTATACGCTTATATTTGTTATCATTTGCAAACATTTTTGAAACATTTTCGAATGCAAGATAATAGAAGCCGTAAGCAAATAGACAAAGAAATATAAAAATAAACAATTAAAAAAAAGTTGAAAAAATGAAAGACGATGGGAAAATATTGATTGACATGTTCAAAGTTCAAGTAAATTGGACGCCGCGTGAATGTATCAAACTTGCAATGTTTCGCGGTTTATCTCACAATAGAAGCAAAATGAAAAAAAAATAAAATAAAATAAATAAATGAGCCGAGCAAATCCTGAACTCGTGATAACGATGTAATAATTATTATTATTGCTAAATCAGACCCCCAGCAGAAATTGCATCACATAACATTAGATGACCCCAGAATGGAAAATATATTTTGCTGTCTGCAGTAGATGTATATCAAGCACGTGTAACACGAACATAAGTATTTTTTCTCAATTTTTCAGAAATAATTAATGGAAATGAAAAGGAATTCATAAACACAATATGAACATAAACGAATTTAAAAACGATAAACGATAAGAATAATTTTTTTTAACCTGAAAATCATTACCTTAGACTGTGATAATCATTGTAATAAATATAATCGTTTTCTTGTTAAACAAAAGTTACTTTAAAATTCATATTCAATTGAAATCATAAAAATTAAATCTATTAAAAAATAATTTAACAATCGATTTTATAAAGAATATGCATATTTATTCTTTATTATCAAATAAAAAGTTTATAAAATATGTGCTACTATATAGCAAAAAATTTATCATATTAATCGAATAATCTTTCCAAATCGATGATCGCTTTTTTATTTGAAACAATAATGATTTGAACAAAAATAACAAAATATATGAGTGATGGTAGATGCGTGCTTCACTGACCGAGTGGGGACACTACTATAAGAAGATATATCACCAACGAACAGACAGTTTACGGTTGGATTGCCGAACGCAGCAGTAGAAATTTACGCTCGTTTTCAACGAATCGTCAGAGATATATATTCAACTACATTGAAAAACATTTCTTCAAGGTATGTGTCAATCGATCAACATTTTTCTATCGATCATATATTGAATGTACGAATGACATTAACATTATATTATTTTACATTTTGATCGCGTTGCAAATGCATTATAATTTTTCATACAGCATATTCTACGCATTCACTTACATAACTAATAATTATTTACATAAGAATCAAATTCATCGTTTTATACTTAAATAGTATATAAATCATTATCAAACGTTAGAGAAAAGGAATTTAGTTTATAAATAATTTGAACATAAGAACAAATCATGTAAAATAAAAACAATCAGTTCGTTGTTATATATATATATATATATATATATATATCAAACGCAAGAAATTTATGTAAATAGAATGAAAAATACAAATAAAAGATATATATTAGTAGCGGAAATCAAGATACTTAAATTCTGTTTATTCAAGGATAGCATGTCAATCACACTTAGAAGCGTTCTCATAAGCGATCCCGTAGACGCATGTTGCGGTGAGTTACTTCTTCGTCACGGTATCTCAGTTACCACCAAATGTAAATTATCAAAGGAAAAACTGATAAAAGAGCTACAGGTATGTATAAATTTGACATTAATTTAAATTATTTCTTTTTCTCTTTTTCTCTTTCTTCTCCTAGCAAATATTTTGATTTCATATTAACAAGTATTTTCAAAAAATCGCGAAATCGTTATAATTACTTTATATTTTTTTATTTTGTTTGAAAAAACCAATTGACAAAACTAAGTTATTTCAATTTAAATATAATAGCAACAGTATTGAACTGTGTAATAGTTCAACTTTCTCGTTCTTCCTTCTTCCACTTTTCATTTTTTAATCTCGCTAAATTACCACTTACATTCTAGTCGATTCAACCGGCTAGAACCAGTTTAGTTGGCGAATGTGAATACCGGTTCATTGGGTCATTGTACTTAACTTTACCCAAGTTCCCCTTCTATCATGTATATACATCTGCGAATGCACAGTTATGTGCAATCTCCATGATAACTTATTCGTAAAAAGAAACGAAATAATTAAAAAAAAACCTAATTGCATATTTATATAATATATATACATACGTGTGTTCAAAACAGAATCACGAAGGATTGATTGTTCGATCAGAAACAAAAGTAACTGCCGATGTATTCGCTTGTTGTCCAAACCTTCGTGTCGTTGGCCGAGCTGGTACTGGTGTTGATAACATCGATCTTGAAGCTGCCACACGAAAAGGAGTCATTGTATTGAAGTATACTCATTTTTTTTATCTTTTTAATTTTATTTAACTTTAAAAGAAAACACTAACCAATTTGAATTTTTTCAGTACTCCTGGTGGAAACAGTATTAGCGCTTGCGAATTAACATGCGCTCTAATCTCTAATTTGGCGCGTAATGTTACTCAAGCAGTTCAATCATTGAAAGACGGAAGATGGGACAGAAAATTGTACTCCGGTTTCGAATTATCCAAGAAAACTCTTGCCGTACTTGGAATGGGTCGTATTGGACGTGAAGTGACACGAAGGATGCAAGCATATGGAATGCGAGTGATCGCCTTCGATCCTCTACTCACATCTGAAGACGCAAACTATCTTAATGTTGAGAAATTTTCTTTGGATGAGATATGGCCAGTGGCTGATTATATTACTGTACATACACCACTTATTCCTCAAACGAAAAGTACTATCTTTTAATTTTATCTAATATTTACAAAATAATTGTTTCTTAATTTTTAATAAATCGTTTATTATTAATAATTAATTACTAATTGTTTTAGATTTAATCAATGCTACAACATTAGCGAAATGTAAAAAAGGAGTACGTATCATAAATGTGGCTCGTGGTGGCATCGTAGATGAAGAGGCATTATTAAATGCGTTAAAATCGGGCCACTGTGCTGGCGCTGCTTTGGATGTATTTACAGAAGAACCGCCAAAAAACTCTGTTACTCTAGAATTAATTGCACATCCTAAAGTTATCTCTACTCCTCATCTAGGTAAAATAAGATAAATAAAATAAAATTTTCAAAAAATTAATAATTTTTTTTGTATGGTATAGGAGCAAGTACTGAGGAAGCTCAGCAACGAGTTGCCGAAGAAATAGCCCAACAATTTTTGGTGTTAGCCGGTAGATCAACGGAATATGTAATTACCGGAATCGTAAATGCTCCAATGTTGAGCGCTGCTATGTCAGATGAAAACGCATCATGGATTGAATTATCGAAAAAATTAGGCAATTTGATCAGTCGGATTTTGAAAGGAAAATTGAATATAACTGTACATAATCAAATTATTGGCAATAAAGAAATGGAAAAAAAAACATTCATTCACACAGCTGTTCTTGTTGGGATCTTATCAGGACAAACAAAAAATGGTTTAAATTTGATCAACGCACCGACATTAGCACAAGAAATAGGTATCGATATCAAAAGAAGCTACGAAGAATCAACGATTGAAGCAATTGTTATTCAAGCTGAGGGTCATTGGATCAAAGGTAAAAATGAAATAAAGATTATTGCATTGTTGATTTATTTCTCATTTTTATGCAGGAACCGTTTGTAACAACAAACCGATGTTACTCTCATTAGATGACGCATTGTTTTCTGATGGAATAACTTTAGGAGATTTCATTTCTTTATATCAAACAAATAATATACAAGATTTAGCGCAAATTGTAAACGTTTTTTCCTTGAAAAACATCAATATTTGCAACTTGAATATCAATGGAAGTTGGATGATTATTCAAACTGATCGAGAAGTTTCTATACCTGTCAATGGTATTGAATCCTTTTGAAATTAATGCTTTTTTATTACAATGGTTTGATAAATATGTGACATTAAATCGCATATATTTATTCTATATTTTTATATAAAAAAGAAAAAACACAGTATTTTAAAATTTAATATAAGTCATTTCCATTTGTTATATCTGATATATATATCTCTATTATCGATGCACAAATAGCGCATCATTTAATTTTATTGAAAGTAAAAACGCAATAGATTGTGTTTTTATTTAAAACATCACAATCGCACATATTTAAATATTTTTATAAATTTTTCATATATACACGTGCATTATAAAATAAAAATATACAAAAATATATATGTGTGCAAGCACACGTGTATGTATATAAGACCGTATATGTAATTTATATATAAGTATTTATATTTTTATATTATTAATAATCATTAATAAAATATTACATATCATAAAATTATTATTATGTGTATGTAACATAATTAAATATTCAACTACTTTCACACAATATCAAACACTATGAATGCATAATGCGTTATACACATATATACATTTGCATATAAGCATTTTATGTCTTTGAAAAATATATATATCTTAAAAAATATATTCATTGATAATTTTACAATAAAAAATTATTTTAGCGTTTTATTGGCTAATTAAATCCACAAGAGCACTTTTTATGATCTCTTAAATTTACATTGCATTTTAAATTATAATCATATAATTTTATATTCTTTCATAACTGTCTAAGCGACAACAATTAAAAGTAAATACAACTCCATCCTGTAAAAATAAAAAAAAATTTTTTAATTTTATAATGAGTTATTATGTTAATATAAAAAAAATAACAGAATATGATAGAAATTCAATCAAAATATGATATGAATTCAACTTACTTTAACAAGTGAAGGAAGATTCCGCCAAAATTCATGATTAGGTACCATTTCCCAACCAGTTGCTCCTCGTAAAAACTTTAAAATTATCGTTCCTCCAATAAAATATATTCCAGTTAATATAAAAAAATAGATAAGCAATATAGAACCAGTAGAAAGACTTTTAATTTGCGTCGTTTTACAAGCATAAGAAGATGTTAATATTAGATGCTGAAGTAAGAAAATATAAGCAAGCATATTTAACATGCAGTGGAAAATATATTATTTTATATTATTATATATTTTTAGAATTAGAAAATTTAAAACATACGTATTCATTCTTATCAACATTAATAGAATCCACATATAAATGAGTACCACATAAATTATTACAGCAAGCTAGGGCTATTGTCGTTATACTATTATTTTCATTACGAAGAATGAAAACAGGCGGTTTCGCATTATCTATTTCAACAATTATTTTTGTTTCTTCTGCTTTACCTAGACTAAAAGTATGATTGTCGTGTACAGCACATAACTAGAATGTAAACGAAGTATATTAAATAATATTGACAATAAAACTTAATATAAATTTATGTTATTTTAATGAATTTGAATTTTACTTACAGAAACACCTTTATAACAATCAGTTGATTTATTGCCTAATGGTGTATTCATACAAGGATGATAATAAAAAGTGAAATTACTAAAATCATCGGTGGCTATTAAGCTAATAAATATTTATTTTCAATTAGAAATTAATGCGTAAAATATAAAGAGGTTAGAATTTTCAATCTACTGACCTTGAATTACTCAGAGGTGACAAATTATAACCTTGTCCATTAGAAAACATACACGAACAAGCCGTTAATTGTCTACATTCTGAAGATATTTGTTTGCAAAAAAGTATTAAAAGAAACCCAACGAGTAATATTTCATTTTTCCCAATCATACTTAATAATCCTTGATACATAATTATAGCACTTATACCACTATTACCATATATAAGGTATCATTGGTATTAATTTCAACATTTCTTTTCCAAAAATATAAAACATTCAAATAAAACAAAAACTTTTATTTACTAACCTTAAAACTATTCAACAACAATCTAAATGGTACTAAGATCAGACTCATTTTTACAAACAGATTAAAAGTTACTTTTCTTTTTTCTTTTTTGTATCATTATAATTACATTATGCTATTGCATTATGCTATTTAAAATAATTGTTAGATTTACTAAAGATATGTAGAGACAAAAAAGTGATAAATCCGTATGAAATCTATTTATAAATATAGATATTATCAATATTACTTTGCTAATCAATTCGAGATTTAAACTGTAAAGATTAATTTGAAATTAATTTTTATCTAAATCTTTTTTTTGTCTATAATTAATATATAGTATAAATTATTAATAAATTAAGTTATTATATTAAGTAATTAACATATATAATTATATAATAATAACTTTTTAAATTATACAATGAAATAAAAAATGAAAATTAAATGATAATCTACAGTAAAATAATAATATGAAATAGCAAATGTCAAATGTCAAATGTATTTTGTAAATAACTTCTAAATCTTGAATTAGAAAACTAATTTGTAAATTTTTTAATTTTTTTTTTTTATATTTTTTCATAAAACTAAATAATATTAAATCTCTATTGTCTTATATTCAATAATAGTTAGTATTTTAATTAACTACATTTTAAAAAATCATAAATAGTGAATATAGTAGTATAGTATAATATATAAATTCGACAAATGAAAATTCGTTGTTTTTTTTTAGAATATTTCAAAATTCCTTCTTATTTCTTTTATTAATAGGTTAAATACTGTCATCATACTTTATGTCAAAATATATATACATTACATATACATTATATATAAATAAACTACATAAGATTGTTATTTTATTATAATTTTGAAAATATATAAATCTTTTATATTAAAGATTAAAACATATTGTAGTTTTCAAAGAGAAATAATGCAAATATATTCAATTGATATCCAATATTTTCTCTAGTCATAATCTCTAGTCATAATTATAGATATTGAACAAATATTAATAGTGAAAAAAAAAACAAAAAAAATAAAAATTAAAGAATCAATTTCTAGAATGCTGTAGATTAAATTTATAAAGATAAAGAAAGTAAATATTAGAAAAAGATAGAAATAGAATAAGAAATAACCATTAATGCCATCTTTTAAGAATTAGAAAAAGAATTATTTTCTAAAATTTCTTAAGAGATGACGCTAATGGTTACTTTTATTCTATTCTATCTTATCTTTACTCTTCTTTTATTATTTGCTTTTCTCATTCATATTTAATTTCATATGGCATTGATTCTTAAATTTTTGTTCTATCCCTCCTATTTTTTTTTTTCTTGTCTATACTATTTTATTCATGACATTCTAGAGATGGCGCTAATTCCTTAATTTCTCTGTATTTATTCTATTTATTTGCTTTTTTTTTTATTAATATTTAGTTTATAAAGATTTATACATGCAGAAATTCTATGATTCTAATTTCTTCTTTGCCTAATATATTAAAAATTATATAGATTTTTACAGATCATAAAGTTTTATAGATCTTAAATTCTTGATATTTTGTTATTTGTGCTACATAAATATTAATATTTATAATTTTTTGTAATATATAGAAATAAATTTCATAAATTGATATTACTTTTATATTATAATAAAAAATACAGATATAAATTTTAATTCATGAATAATTTAATTCAT